AGTTATATTTTTTTAAATAATTATTGTTACTCATTCCATATTAAAAATTTTTAGTATTTACAAACATACACAAAGAGTTATTTATAGTATCGTAGCAATTTTCTTCTGTGAATTCCATATTTTGTTTCTCGCTCAACTTTTGGAGAAAAGCAAAGACTTAAAGAGAAAGTTATACTTTTTTAATGCATTTTCAACTCAACATTAGTACTTTTTTCCTCTTCTATTAAAGATGTTTTTTTTAACGTTTGATGTTAAAAAAAATCTACTAACCTTTTCACTTAGCCTTTCGTAATTGCAGAGGAATGTTTCAACCATCGCATCATTTTAGCAAACCATCACCTGCCAAGCACTTAATGAGTATACGTGTAGCGATAGTTCGCACTTACTGTCTTTTTGAAGATAAATAATACATTATACTACTTTATGTAATAAAAAAAGAAGATGGAATAGCTGTTTTTTTATTATCTTCATAAATGCTAGTGTGAGATCGGAAACTAAAAGAAATCTAACTTAGAAAAGAAGTATAGTTGCATTTTTTTTTCTAATTTTATGCACTAAAAATAGTTTCGCGAATACTTTCATTTTCCCTCAAAATGTGCATTTGTTTGTCTTTAATAGTTTTGTTACAGTTATAAGCTCAAAGTGGTTTATAACTTTTTTAAAGAAAAACACATTTCAAAATTTTGATTAGAGATTACTGTAATAACTGAACACTGATTTTAAATTTTTAGTAGTAACGGAATATTAATGGGAATGAAATTCGTTTAATCAGTTTATTTACAAATTTTGATTTTCTATTCCTATTACTTAAAATAACTCCTTTTATTTTTATTTTATAACCGTCGTTGAACAGCCGACCCAATTTTATGGGTTTACAACTACTAATCTTCAACTCCGTAGCCTTGTAATTTTGTACCCAATCCAGAAGACAAGGGAACTCCCGGATCGAGTATTGGGAGAAATTTCGCCTTCGTGGAAGACTTTTTGATGGAGCTAACCCGCATTTGTGTTACATAGAGATAAAGACCACGGAAACCTCCCACGGTAAGCCTGATGGCAAAGGGACTCTAACTCATGATCTGTCTACCACTCAGGATATTTCACGTCAACACTGTGGTCGGTGCAAGCCGGATGCGGAATTCAAAGTAATTCCTTGTAAAAAATTATTGTTTTTACTTTAGTATCAAGTTTCGTATTTAAATATGGTACGGTGCGTCTCACTAGAGCTGCACAATGGACTATTATTGACGGAATGGGAAACATCCCTGCGGATGATCCGAAGATATGCAATTGCAATATTTTGATCCTTTGCTGAGGGAATGTTTAAACATGGAACTGTATTTTGTACGTGTATATTGTTTTGATAAGATTTATATTTATTTTGAAAAAAAAAACGTAAGTGTTGAAAGAAAATGCTTTAATTTATAATACACGCATAATTTAAAAATTTAACTTAATTACTACATTAAGCCAAAGAAACACAACGTAACAATGTACTGTGGTATACCATTTAGTTAGTCTCATTTTAGGTTTGACCTTCATAAAAACTATTGAGTGTGTTTCGTTGAGTATCAAACATTTTGCTTGCAAAGCTGTGTTAATTATTTTAATGTTTATTTGAGGATGTATTGACTATATAAATTTTCATTTAACGTGAGCTGTTTGACTTAAATTTGATTAAATATATTTACGAAATTGTTTTTGAAAATAAGGTAAAAATATTAATATATTTGTAAATTTTTAGATTTAAAAGTTTGTTAATTTTTAATTTCATGACTTGCTTCAATATTAGCATCAAATTATAGTATTTTGAGCAATGTATATGTTACGGAAGAAAAATAATTACGCCCCAAATACTATAGTAATGTTTTTAAATTATCAATGCTGAAAATGAAAAAAAAAGAAATTAATATGAAGTGCAGGTCTAAATCAGAAAAAAAAAACAAGTTTTTGAAACGCACAAGTTTTGTACAAGTTTTTGATAAATAACCAAAATTTTCTTATAGCTTCATTTTTACCTATCTCTTTAATAGATTACAGTATAGTTTTTAACTAGTAAACGTTTTAATTATTTTATTATACTTTAATTTTAGTAAACATTGGCTCTAAATTTAATAGTTTTACATTCTATTCATTCATCAGGCCTAAATTTTCAGCATTGCGAAAGATTGAATATCAATTATGAAAACACTCGTGATTACCATTTAGTATTCTTAATATCACTTAATTTCAGTGCCATAACATACACGTAAACTATTTTTTTTTATGTTTTCAATCATAATTCAGTTATAAACATTACTATGCACTATTACTATTGAAAATATATGCTACAATTTAATATTGTTATATATTTTTTAATTAAATAAATTTATCAGTTTCGTTATGGTTGTATCATAATGCAATATAACTTTATTACTGTTGTTTCTTAATACAATATAACTTTAAAATGAGCAAGAAGAGATACATGTATTGTATTGTTTTGAGTAACATCCAGGCTATAATACATAATGTTTGCAACTAAAAAGAAGAAATTCTTTAAAAAGAAGCTGGTTTTATCTAATAAATTACCCTCTTTCATCCAAGAAATAAACGAAACAAAAATCCACTTGGCATGAAGAGACTGCGATCTCTTCTCTCGCTTTTTTAGTAAAGAAAGGAGTATAAGTACTCCATTATAAGTGTTTCTTTCTACACTGAAAAATCACAAAGACAAAAGTTCTTAAACTAAAAACATATTTTGGGGGTTCAGAACATTTCAAAAGCTATCCATATGTCTTGGACTTAGTTAAAGTCTAAGACAATATAGTTTTTTTTTCTTATTCTAAGAACAAAAGATCCTTCAGAAGATAAGCTGCGAGAAATGATAAAAAGAAGAGACCTTCTTTACAACTTTTATATAAATTGAAGACAACACTTACCGATAGGGATTATTTTTTTTACAAAAAATGTTCCTTTAAAATGTATGTTCTTAAGTTTTAAATTTTTTTTTTCGAAAACAAATTCCATTGAACGAATGTATCATATATAGTTATTTTAATAAAGGGTGTAATGCGTATGTTGGATATAATATTTGCTGAAAGTAAAAAAAAAGGTATGAAACAGCCATCGAGAAAAATATATCAAATTAAGGAAATAAAAACAGTTTAGTGGTTTTTAGAATATTTTTAGGTGCATTATAAAATTTTGACAACCACTATGGGATGTTTATCCATTTTAACAATTTCCATTATCAAAACAGTAACAATGTAAGTGTCAAAATCACCTGCCATTTAAATCCAAATGAATAAGTACCAAAACCAAATCTAAGGTTTCCATTTACGTAATAATCCAATTTTTATGTCCCAGTTTTCCCCAAGAACGGTAATCCTTATACACCAATGTTGTTATTACGTTTTGTACTAACAATCTTTTGCTTTGCAGTTCCAGTTTTTTTTAAATTCCGTTTTATAAATTAGTGATGCTCACCAAGACCGCTATGCACCATGGTGAACAACGATTCATTGGTGACTAGGTGCCTCAAATAGAGATAACAAACGAATAACAAACAAATATAATAATAATAAAACAATGAAAATATAGAATATGATGATACGATATTCTTAGTGCTTTCCAATAAGCCTTCCATACCAATCCGTTGCCTGCTACACAAGGATAATTGCACAAGTGATACATAGCATATGTGCATAGTGATGACATTTATGCTTTTGATCAATTTGATGAAATGCTTAAAATGTTAGAATGAATTAACTTGTGTTATCTTTTTAGGTTAAAAAACAGCATAATAATAAGCCTGTTTATTATTTAAAGAGCAATATTTAATTAATGAAATTCACTTGAGACATTAATTTAAAAGTAACAACAAAAAAAACAGTTATCTACTTAAAATGTTATAACATAAACATAACATGAGTACATAGAAAAAATGCTAAAATACGACTCAAAGAATAAGATGTCAGGCTCAAAAGCAAAAATTTTATTGCGTCATCAATTGTTTCCAATTAGATTACAATTAATGGAAATTTTAACAAGAAGTATTTTAAAATTCTTAATCTTCACAATACTGTACATACAAAATAATCACATGAAGCACAATAAATATAATGATTTGCCTTTGAACTATTTTTTAAAGTCAAAATTAGGTTTTGTGAGGAGACGATTTTATCAAAATTGGATTTTGTCATAGTCAAGTTCTGTCGTAATCGGGTATTGTCATAGTCGAATTCTGTCGTAATTGGGTTCTGTCATAGCCGGATTCTGTCATAAATGGGTTCAGTCATATTAGCGTTCTGTGCATTCGGAATTTTGCCATAATCACGATAGCATAAAAATTAGGTTATGTCCATAATTGAGCCAATTATACATATTCTGGGAATCTTATGCATGAAATATAAGGTTTGTGTTAGTTAGCCTCTCTTCAGAATTGTCTATGTAGAGATGTCAAAAAGATCACAATCCAGCTCAAGAAACAAAATGTCCTGTCCATGAGCCAAATCTATATTTAAAAATCGATTATTTTATTCCAGTCCTTTCTATTGTCTTTAATAGAAATTCTGACCATATACGTTATATAATGCATGTGTTAGACATCATTTTTAAATGTTCCACAATGCTGTCCGTAGATAGTTAATATGCAGCTCAATACACAAAATGTCCAGCAATTAAGCTGGATTTTCAAGGTCAGAATTAGGTCTTGTCAAAATTGGATTAAGAACATCATCAGATTTATCACATGTTTTTGGTTATATACTTACATTACACGTTAAATCATATAAAATTTGTGTGTGTTAGTCTTGTTTTGAAAATCATCAAATTATTACTTATGCAGAGATATAAGAACTGTACAATCTGATTCAATGAACAAAATGTTCTGCTTAAGAGCCAATTTTCAATCAGATTATTGTTCAGTTCGAAAAGTTATTATGTTTCATAAAATAATTCAACGATGGTTTCATTAAAATCTACTAGAAATGGTATCATCAAATCCATCTCTCATTTTTCCATTTTTGGAACTCTTTATTCTGGTGCACGTGATGGGCGGTAGAAAGTCCCTCTGTTTTCAAGTCATACTTTACGAACCCATTCTGCCAGAACTCAAGTTGTTCCATACTGACTATATTCCAATTTTTACTGGATATTTTTCATAATTTTTATCCATCTCCTTATCCACTTCCTGTATGCTTCTTTGTGCTGACTTCCGATATTCTGCCACTTTTGGCTCTTCTATTTTTTCAACATTTACATCCTCTTTCTTATCCACTTTCTTGCTTTCTTAATATTATATTGAACAGATGTCAGTTTTTCTGCTAATTTTACTCCTTCAACTTCGCCACCACTTTCATGATTATTTTTATCCATTTTTTGAAACTCATCCTGAGCAGTTCGCCCTGATTCAGCTGCGTTTTGCTATGCAAGCACATCGGTCCAATCTCTCAACTTAAACTTCATCGTCATTATCTTTCTTTCCCTTTGAACTCAACAAAAAACAGGATGTTAATTTTTTGCTTAGCTTTCAATTACAGCAATTCCATATTAACTGAAATTATAATTTATTTGCTTAATTATTACATTACTTGTCAAAATCTAATTATATATATTGTATTTCTCCTAGCACTCTTTATTATTTTATTGAATGCGATTTTGCGATGATTCAGTCAGATGTTTCAAAGTACAAAATAATTATTCAGAGTAATATTTTAATCAATAAACTATTTTTCGTACAGAATTTCCGTTTTATGTATTATTTTTATTGATGTTGTGTTAGTTAACAATTATCCTTATTCTAGATAGATAAAATCAGACATTTCTTAAAATCCGATAATAATATGCGATTTCAACACAGTTGCTTGTCAAAATTCACATGCTCTAATATAAAAGTAAGTCCAAAACAGAATATTTCACAAAAATTTGTCATTTTATTTAATTATTTATTCGTCGGGTTTGTACAGATTCCTTAAAAATTTTAAAAAGTGGTAGCAAAATTACAAAAATAGAATGTAAATGATACGAAATTCAAAGAGTTACAGATTTTTGATGTAAAATGAAATCCAATTAAAAGAAAAGGTGTAGCTTTTTAATGTGATGTTAACTTTTTAAGTCTGTTTAATGATAGTAAGAATCCTGTTTACATTTTAACATTATTTTTTCCAATTTGTATTCAACAAATGATTTATTAAACATATTTGTCGGAACACTACTTTTTTGTCTCAGCTTCAGACAATTTTACAATTTGACAGTCATTTTTCGGAAGCTTTTTCTTTCCTGTTTATAAATTTAAAATCATTAAAACACTAGTAGTTTTCGAGTAGGAATTTTCTAGAAATTTTACCCTTGATCTCAGAACAATTAATATTAATATATTAAATGTTATTAATTTTTTACTCGGGTAGTAAGAGCTATGATTGTATTAAATAAAAGCTCTAATATTAATATAACCCCTAATAGAAAATTTATGAAAAAATCTGACATTAATTTCCAAATTACTTCTTTGTGGAAATAAATATACCTGAACGTGAACATGTATCTTGTGAATTGTACTTAATTTGTCTTTTTTTTAAAATAAGGGACATCGAAATGCTAAAACCCACGGTACAAGTGATAGCAAAAATAAATTTTTTCAACAATAAAATAATACTGCTAGTAATTGTTACTTGTACAATGTATACCTTTTATACGATTTAATTTTACAGTAAGAAGTTGAAAATTATGATTTGCAAATATTTTTATTCAAAATGATCAATTATACATTACTCACATCTTTTTGCGAATATATCTAAGCAGTTTGGACATTTTTTTTTCCAAACTGAATTCTTTTCGCAAGAACAGCAACCAATTGTCTCAAAAACTCTATAAAATAGGACAATTTTTAATTATTAAAATGTTCTCTTATTATATCATGCATTGTTAAAACGATACCAAAAATAGTACTAACCTTGTTTCAAAATCAGTTTTCTTTTTAATTACAACAGATTACTTTAACATTTAATGTCTGTTGCGACGAAGCTTGCAGATTACAGTTGTTTTATGTCACTATTGATTTCTCCTAACTTAAAGATTCTCCTGGAATAAAAAGCTTTTTTTTTGTTGAAAATCACAATGCTTATTCAGTTTATTGTGCTTACAAATTTAATGTCATTCTGTTTCAATTCAATTTATACAAATTAACAAACTTTGTAAGACCATAAATAATTAATAAAAAGGGTGTTTTGTTGAAAGAATTTGATTTAATAGAGATTTTGATGTATCATTCTATGAAGAAAGAAAGTAAAAAATAAAATTCTTCTTAAATGTTTTTTCTATTTATTTGCTTGGAAAATGTATATCTTTACATCGAGCAATATATTTATAACAGTTTATAATGATTGCTTAGTATGTGCTGATTCATGGTTTTTGATTAATGTATATTGTAGTGGAATAATTAAGTAATACTTTGGATCGATCTTAAGGCACAATACTTAAAACAAAATTTCTGAGGAATCCAAATCTGAATTTTAAAAAAATGGGAAACATATTTAAGTTGCCTAGTATTTTACTATATATTTATTTATTATTATTTCTTTGATATTTTGTATAATATATTTCTCGAAACATTTAGTTTTTGAACTTCTAGGACTTGAAAATGTTTAGTTGAAAATAAAGTCTGAAAATCTTTAACAGTAAGCATAACAGGATATGTTTTATAGAATGAAGAAAAAAATTATCCTCAAATGAATTAAATAGCCATTTTGTTCAGTTAATGAAAAATAAATTGGATTATCCTGAATGGCATATGTTTTTAAGTTTCATTTAATGAAATAAGTCAGTTTTAAAGCTACAATCTTTCAGTTATTGACATTGGAAAATATTTTTTTAGTTTTTGATAACGTTTTCGCTCAGACTCTTAATTTAGTATCTCATTCTATGATTAATGTTTATAAATCAGGAAATTTTCAAAATAAATGTATTTGTTACATGTTACGATTGGAGGTTTTTTTTATAACTAACATGAACTCATTGTTAAAGCGAGAAACGGTGTCATTCAAATCTTTCTCTTTTAAATGCAAATATTGTTTTCTCCATGAAAATATCTTGTAAAGGAAAACCTGTTTTGAAATGGGAATCAGATATGCATGAAATATGAGGATAGCGGAAATAACATATTTTATAGAAATATTTTCATGTTATCCACATTACATGAAACAATTCAGTTAAGAATTTTTATTAGAAAAAACAATGCCGGAACGTAACTTTTTTGTTTTGTTTTCACTGTGCATGTTGCTATTTCTGAATCTGAAATTTTATATCTCAAATGCAAATACCTGTTGTAAGGATATACCAAAAATATATGCATTCGGAACATATGCGTGATTATACAAATATGCTATGAAAATAAAATATTTGATTGGAATGAAAGACTAATAATATTAAAGCATATAATGATGAAATAAAATTGCAAATATTATGATTAAAATGAAGTAATTTTAAACACTGACGACGGTGTAGTTAAATCATGAATAAGACAGTTTCTGTCAGTCTATCTTTACAATGTACCAGTAGTTACTTATAATTAGTCGCAAGAAAGCAGTTGCAATAAACTCGAAACAACTTCAGAGATTAAGAGTTAATATTTGTTTCCGTAGTTTAAAAAGACAGCAGTGACTTATGGCAATTAACAGTATCAAGCAAAAAAGGTTTTCGATCAAATACTGTATTCATTGTATAAACAACAATTTTGTACATTTTTATAAATAAATAAGTAAATAAAAACCTATTACTCCAACATACACCCATAAAATTAGCAGTTTGCATGTAAGGATTTATTATGAAATCTTTAGTTTTGATATTAGATATTTAATTATAAGAAGCATACATAATTGAATACCCGCATGTTACGTCATCCTGAGTAAGACAAGGCATTCGTCGATTTGGATGCCAATCATCTTTGACAAACATGCATGACGTCACTTACAGGTATCCAATTAAATCTGATCTAAAACACGAGGTTAGGCCTCATCGCTTATTCCTCTTTTCGAGTTAAAAGTAATAAAAGAATTATATTCTAAGCAAATTTTATGAAACATTGTTAACTCTTATCAAACATCAATATCTTATTTCTTTAAACCAATCATGCAGGATAAAGAAAACAAAATTAACTCTATTAGTTGTACCGAAATAATCTTATTCGTGAACTTAAAAATTTAAAAAAAATTTTGTAGTTAGAGTAAAAAATATCATCAAATATCATGGTAGTTAGAGTAACAAATATCAAGCTAGAGAAACAAATTTTGAGTGCAGTGTTCTGTTCTCCCTACTTTTATATTTACTTTATACAAATGCATTTCCTTCATACCATAATACAAATTTGTAACAAAATATACATTCTAACAATTTTCATTTTGTAAACTCTCTAGCAATTTCGCATAACTCATTAATTATTTCTTTAGCATTCGACGAGAGAACTTTTTGTAGAATTTCTCTTGTAAAACAAATATGAAACCAGGGGAATAAGTTATGAAATACTGCATTTCGAATTCCATTCACAGAATCCACTTCAACCACATATAATTCTCTTTTGTCTCTCAGCAGAAATAAAATATAAAAATATTTTTCGTTCAGACTATAAAAGCATGCTTTGTTTTTCGTCAACCTTAGTGGAGGCTTAACCAGTTTATACACGTGACTTGAAGTAAAGATGTTTCTCTTTTTAATTTATTTATCGAATGGAATAAAGATCGAGAGAGTTTGGGACATTTTACTGAGATTCTTACAAGATTATTTGTAACTTTAGGTTCTTTTCAGAACGATCCTCTCCATTGCCTCATTCCTCATTAAGGAATTGGAAAATTTTATTCAGATTCTTTAAGTAGTGATTATAATAAAATCTTGAAATTTTAGCATATTTGTATTATCTTGAAATTTTAACATATTTATATTATCTTGAAATTTTAACATATTTGTATTATCTTGAAATTTTAACATATTTGTATTATCTTGAAATTTTAATTTCGTGGAATTTTAACATATCTAGAAATTGTTTTCCATAATTATAGTTTGCATTTAATTATTTTTAAGTGATTAATTAAGAATTATTTATATTAAATTTTCATTTCGCTTAAAAAACTATAAAACTAGTTTTAATAGAAAATTTTGACTGATTAATCAGTTGTAGTTTAAGAAATTTAGCAGATATTTACAATAAACTAGAATAATAATCGATTAAGTTTATGTTTTACAGCCAGAAAGTACTAAAAGAAACTTTTATCGATATGAAACACTCTTTCCTTATGAATAAATTTACGGGATAGAGCGTGATACCGTTATTCACCGCAGGTAACAAAAAAAGATCAAAGCAAGGAAAGCTTTGAACTTAAGACTCACGATTATCTTAAGATAGATTTAAAAATCTCTTCAGGCGATTGTTGATAATACTGCACAAACATTTTCATGAGGAAAAGGTTTATTTTCTGTGAATATTAATATAACAATTTTCTTTGAGTTTGGTAGCTGTATTCAATACAATATTCCTATATTGATTTTCCATAACAAAAGCCAAATAAGGTGGTTATGGATAAACCCCATTAGCCATGTCTTGTATATTAGTATTTAAAATTTATTTATTTAAATCTTCTTATCAGGATGTAAGAAGTATAAGTGTTAAATCTAGAAAGACCCGTCCCAGCTTGCGTCTTTCATCAATCTCCAAAATTTCAAAGCAATCATCTTTTCCCTATAAGAAACTTTTAAAGGTAAATAAGTATGTTTATCATAAAATATTTCGTCATAGGTTTCATAGGATTATTTTAAAATAAAAGGCCACATTAAGCTTTAAGTATTTAATTGTAAATAAGAATAAAACTAAAAAAGGTTATAATAGTTGAGAAATGTATTAATATGGAAGGATTCAAACTTTGTAAAAAAACATGAGCGAACTCATGAAGTTACTTTGGATCCCAGTTTCTTCATCTTTATAAATCTTACAAAAATGAACTGAAATTTTCCAGAATAGTTACTTGGAATGAGGAAAATTTTAAACTATAAGAGTACAGCAGCATTTATGATCCATCATCAAAATTAAATAAAATTTTACCATTGAACTTCTGCCAGTAGAACTAGTACAATGGTACAATATACTTGTGCGATGATTGATAAAACTATGATTGCAAGTTACTTTCCATAGTCTGTAGAGTTGTCAATCGCGTCGTCATTTTGTAACGATAAAGCCAAAACAACTAATATCCTTCCTGGCCCATAAAACTTCAGTTTCATAACTGGTACATGAGTTTCAGATGTACACCTAAACAAAACAAATATTCTGCTACAAAGCAGATAATTATTTTAAAGCTATTTTCAGTCAATATGGATATCGTAAGTATTCTATTGTGTTAGGAGGAATTAATAAATACTGCTAGCAAACATCGAAAACAAGTTTAACTTGATATTTTATGTAAATTATAACCATCTCTCATATCTATTTTCTTTTTTTTTAAACACCACGTGATTCTTCTCCCTAATGAGAATGCGTAAAACGGTGAGATGAATATGATCCTTCTGCACGTATTCTATGTAAATATTTTTATTTGTGTTCTCTGCATAAACTTTGCTATATATTTTACTGTTAAATAAACCTACAATTTTCGAACTTGTCCTTTTATTATATTTTAACGTAATTAAGCACGAGGCTAAATTATAGACGAATAAAATGGAGGCACAAGGGAGATTAATTGTAATGTCAATGTTTTTTATATCTGCATGCTTAAGTCCCTAATTTTTACTTTCAGAAAAAATATTTGTTGTAAGATACGATATGACTGATTTTATTTTACTGCCTACCCAATATTTGGATTCACGACTACTAATGCTCAACTCCGTTACCTATTAATTTCGAACCCAATCCAGAAGACAAGGGAACTGCTGAATAAGTACTGAGAGGAATTTGCGTTTGAGGAGAAATATTTGACGAGACAAACAAGCATTTGCCTTACAGAGAGTAAAAAGTCATGAAAATTCGGGTAAAATTCATATCGACCAGCATCGCTAGGATTCGAAACCATTTCACTTCATTAGAAGGCTAACGTTCTATCTAATGAACCATCATGGTTCGATCTGCTAGATTAACTTCATTTAAATAAAGCGAATTCAGATACTTTTGCAGATGTCCACAGAAAGAATCAGACTTATAACAAAGTAAACGAATTGTGCCTTGAAAAAAAATAAGGTTAAAACTCAAAATGAATTATATATTTATAATATAAAATTTTTAGTCTCTTAATGCAAGTTGACTTATTCTAGGTCCACTATAACTGTGATTTTGTGTTTGAATTTTATCTACTTAGCAGTAGTTTACTTATATTTATAACTTGAGTTTTCTTATAACTTTACAATCAGGTGGTTTTGTGATAACTTCAGTTTAATACCATTAGACTCTTTTTTTTTGGTTATGCGCTATTTTTATGTTTTGGCATATACTAATTCAAGGATTTGCTTACAATAATAAAAGAGATATAATGCTAGAGGATACCTTTGAAGCTTTTGGTTTTCTTGCATTCTTCAAATGTCTTATGAATTAAATAAAAATAATTTCGAACAAGTAACTATAAACATTCAAATGTAGCACCGCTCCTAACTTGATAAATGTTAAAGAAATCTTGAAAAATTCTGGCCATACAAACTTTTTCGTTACATTATGATATCAAATTTGTGTCCAAGCTCATTTAACAATCCATTATGATCATCGCTCGTTAGAGTCTTAACTTTAACCAAATATATGCACCAAAAATAAACTTTACATCATGAAAAAAAGTAAAAAATTGCGCGACAAATTTTAACAACATAAAAAAAATTAATTAAAAAAATATTTAAAAAAAAACAAAAAAATGACAATAAAACAAGATGGTATAAAAAAAAACATATTAAAAACTAGAACAAATCAGCCAAAATTTAAAATACTGTGCAACCAATTACATAATTATCTATTTAATGTGCGTTAGTTAAAATATCAAACTTCTAGGCAGCTATTGTACAATATTCGTCAGCTCATTATTGATAAGAATCGAATTCATATAAACCAACAATACGAAGCTCTCAGTCTGACACAGAAAAGCAAAATAACACCACCACTTCAAAAGTAATTTTTATAACAAGCATCATCGATTATAGAAAAGGATAGTTATATTGTGAAAAGTCTGATAATATATTTATTGGGTATGTATGACCACGAGTAACATTTTCAAAATTGAGACGAGGACTTTAAACATCGCAAAGCCTCGGCAAGAATAAAATTGCTAAACAAAAGCTACATCAAATCCTTGAAAAATAAAGTATCATATATTTCAAACCAGGAAAAGTTTATATTAAAAGTATTGATAAGAAGTTTTTCTGTCATTCAGGATCAAAAATAGATTTCACTTATAGTAGTACCTTATATTATAAATTATTCATTTCATGCATAATTCACCTCTCTTCAGAGCCCCGTCATAACTTTAAAATATATATTCGCAAAATATAAACTTCATATTTTGTAAAAAAAATGAAGAATTGGGTCATAACGTTTAACAACATAAAAACTGACATACATACTGACTACAATTATAGTTAAATTAAATTAAAACTATTCTTCAAAGATTATTTCATGATTGAAAATAAACTCATTTGGATTCATTATTGCTAGAACAAAAATCAGTGTATCAATTCAATAGCAGTATCACAATGAATAATCAATATAAATTTCAAATTAGTACTACATTGGAAAAAAAAACAACTGTCATATTCTGTAAGTAAACTGATTAGAATTCTTTTATTACAAGTTAAAATGTAGACCCTATTCCGCGTTTGTCATATCAACAGAACTAAGTTCGATCATACATCGTAGTGATATAATTGGTTCTGTTAAGTTAGACTAAAGAAAACTATCACACTACAAAATTTATGTCCCAATAATTTGCGCGAATTCAATGAAGACCATAACGGTTGAGAGGGTTGTTGACCTATTAGATAATTATTAATTAATTAATAATTAATTAATATTAATCTTAATTATTTTAAGATATCAGACACACAAAAAAAGTATTTTCTTTTGGTAGACGTACTTTTTTGAATAGGTTCAGATTCCTAACTTTCGATTCATGGAAAGCTGTTATAATATTAAAACTTAGATCTACATCATTTAATTGCTAGAAATGTCGATCGTTGTCCTCCTAACTTTACATTATTCAGTTTTGAGTGAATTCATTTTTCAAGTATTTTCGTATATCTCGGACACGTTTTTAAGCGAATCGAAAAATTTTTACACACAGTGTAAGAGTTGACAAACTAACTATTTTGCTTTAAATATTGCTTAAAAATTAAATTGTAAAATAAGTAAATGTTCAATAATTTTATTAAAACTTTAAATAGAAAAATCAAAATTTGAAAGAATATCAGTTGAATAGTTTCTCAGCAAAATCGCAATTACGAAACAAAATTAATTGATAATAATTAATGAAATTCGTCCAAAGTTTGTGTGCTGTTTCGATAAATGTTTGTACTTTTCGTTCACTTTATCCGATTATTTTTTATAACTTATTCAAAAATGTATATTATATATTTTATTAGATTCTACTAAAATTACCGTATTTTATGGACATAACATTTTTGAGAAAAAAGAAACATAGCAAACCAGAAATTCTGGTTCACAAAATTACAGTTTTTAAAGCCACATATTTAGTGCAAAACTTCACAACTGAAAAGTAAATTGAACTGAATAAATGGTTTCTGTGTAATACTTTAAGGTATCGTGTTAAAATTACAAACTTTTACCACATTTACCGCATCTTTTCACACATTATAAAACCTCAATTTATGGTTAAATTTACCAAAATTATTACGAAAGCATTTCAGCAAAAACTACCGAGCTTTTCGGTATTCT